ATGATTTATGCGACATGATAGTTGATTACACTTTACACTTGACAGTACAAAAGAAATTCAAAAAAACTGCCTGGAGAAGAAAAAAAAGAAAGCAAGTCCGCACCCAAGAAGTACAGCTGTAGAAGATAAAGTGTGCACCTGAAGTACGAAGAAGCCAGGTGTTGGGTGAGTAATGAGTGAAAACCCAACAGCATCGGTGAGGTTATGCCTGTTAACAACCGAGGACATTACTGCAAAGTTTTCACCCCATAAACTAAAGCAAGAAATTGCCTGACATAGATTTAGGCCCGTAATTACTGCTGTGCTTTGCTGAGTATTTCTGGTTTCACTCTACTGGCGTTATCACGTCACATCCACCATAAACATCTCTTCATGGATGAGGGAAACTACTATAATTGCAAGAAAATTACAGCAGTAATAACTATTTATGATTAGAAAATATTTAGCTTTCTCCCCTGCTCATACCCTCCCCCTTTTCTTTGGTTTATCTGATGTGATATAAAAGCATATGGAAAAATCTATTGTTGAAGAAAATTGATTATGGCATATTTGAACAACCAGGGGTGTCATCTCTGGGGACTCAGGAATTCAGAGCATTATCATACCATTGATTTTCAAATATAACTTAATCAGCAGAGAGTTCTTGTTAAAAAAAAAAATAAAAAAATCAATATCATAGTAAAGCTCTGACTTTTTCAAGTCTAAAAAGTAACTGGGTTGGCTCCTAAAATAATTTTCACTGTGCTTTAGAACCAGAGAAAATTAGGAGTTATAAATGCCTTTGAAAAACAACAACAGCAAACAAACAGAAATGCCATCAAACCAAAAAAAAAACAAACAAACTTGCTTCTGAGAAATTAAATACCAATTCCTATAATTTTATGGGCAATCTTTATTCCTTCCTTAGCTTTTATGCAGATGAAACTTTGCTATGAAGCTAATATTTAGGCTGCCAGATTGCCGGTTGAAATATGCTCTTCTTCAGCAAAGCTAGTTATAGGTTCTTTAAAAAGATAATTCACCAAGGTCTGGGCATTATTGACAATCTTTACATGTAGCAAACCAGATCGCCCTATCACCAAGATGTTGTGTGCACAGGGTTACCTACAATTGCTCTCTGGGGGAACCCTAAGAACAACAACATTTATGGATGAGGTACAGAAGCACAGTCAGACCACCCAAAATTAACACTGTACACAATTGCATAAAACCACGCTGAATGGAAAATAAAAAGGTCTTGTAACTGAGATTGATAACATACAGATGCATCACATACAGATGCAGCAGACTCTGTCGTGAAACTGTGCTAAAATACAGCAGCCAGCAAGGTGGGATTGCTCAGCACAAGCCTAATCAGTGGCAGAAGGAAATCAGCTGCTCGAGGTGTGGGGCAGCTGGATTGCTATAGCACAGAATTGGGGGTTACCAGATTTAAAAATAAAAAAAAAAAAAAAAAACAAACTTTCCTTCCCAGGGAAGGAAGGAAAGTAGCTGTTTCCTTCCAGGATCACTCCTTGTGAGATGCTGCACGGCCCCAGTATTTCCGTCTGAATTTATTACGGACAAAATCCTATTCAGTACTCTCTCAGGAGAACCATTTCACAAACAGCAGGGACTCAAGAGAAATGATCATAAACCAAAGCCCTGTAGAGAGCTATATTTTCCTGAGTAGAGCTGAAAAAAAAAAAAAAAAAAAGGTGGGACATTATATATGTTTGCAGGATGATATAGATCTCTCACACCCGTTTATATCACCATCTCCTTGCTAAGATGACCCAGTATCAATCCAAGTCGGCAATTACATTCTGATTTTTAGAATGGTTTTGAGTGGTACCACGAATATTGGTTCTGGAGAAATGGGTGTAATTAATGCAGGGTACGTATCTTGAAATGTAACATTTTTCTTGGTATTTTCCTGAAAAGGATTGCTTTGCCCTCTGGCTCAGCCTCCCTTAGATTGTGCTACTGTAGATGGTAAGAATTTGAACACCAGCTGCCCATCTCATCCCTTCCCTGCCAAGGGAAATAAGGCAAGGAGGGGAATGGGAGTGGGAGCCCATTTCTGAGTTTCCTGGTAGTGAATGATGCAGTAAATCCCTCACGTCACAGACCAGTTGTGTGAAATCAGCTAGGTCTTGTGATACATAGCAAATTCTTGGGCCATACTCCTTTTTCTGCATCTCCTTTCTAAGATCCACTGTGAATTTTTTTCTTGGAACCATACAGTACTATAGTATTTAGAAATACATTAAACATTTTCAGTCAAAGACCATTAAGCATAAGGGGTGGATATGATGAGGAAAGATGGTACCCAACCTAAGCCTTGCAGATTTTGCCACATCAGCCTGCAGAATTTATTATAGAATTTCTTATTCCGCAGGTTTCTTGTGTCCCGTAAAATTCAGGAATGCTGAAAAGTAATGAATGGCACAACTTGTTTTACTGCTGTTGTTTTCATTTCATGGATCTCTGACTTTCATTGTGGTGGGCTTTTATTTTCTCAAAGTTCTTTTGAAGTCACAAAAAAAACAAAATCACAGAAAACAGGTTGGAAGGGACATCTGGAAGCCACCTTGCCCAACCTCCTGCTTTAAAGCTGAATTGGGTGTTTCAGGACTTGGTTCACATTTTCAGCACCTCAAAGGATGGAGACTCCACAGTCTCTCTGGGGCCGAGTTGGAAACGAGTTATTCCCACCCAGGAAATTTCTCACAATAGGAAGAAAAAGTTCCTTTCTTGACATTTCAAAGAGGAAGAAACATGGGAAGTTGACTCTCACGCTGTTTCCCCAATCTTCACTCATTCTTGGAATATGAGCGATAGCACAGATAAGAACCTTCAACCACACTTCTTTATTTTCATACCCAGCAAGAAGGTTACGGGCTTGGTTCATTACACAAGGTAATGAGTAACTGGGTATGCACCTTCAGAGGCCAGATTCCACTTCTAAATGATTGCTGGAATGAGCCAGAATTCATGTCCTAATACTACACAGTGTAATCACGGGGCAGAGCTGTATATTCAAGCACAAAAGCAGGTACATACTTTTAATTATTACTAACATGATTCCAATCTCATGGTTGAATGATCTGTATGTGCAATGCAAGATAATCATCATCCACAGTGCATAATTTAGACTGTCACAGAAGATGCTTACCTAAAGAAGTTTGCACTCTATCAAGTCCTCCTGTTGTTATGAAATAGAATTTTATTTTTTCCACTTTAAGCATTAACCCCAGAGGTTAATTTTAATTTTACTCTTCAAACCAAGCATTTTAAAGTGTTAGCTCCCAGAGATCTGTCTGCTTAAAAACAGGGTGAACTGCTATTTTGGGCCTGTCTGGCAGACAGGGAGAAGTCTTGTTTTTGGCCAGTGGGATTTTGTCAGTCTGGATTACAACTCAACTGAGAGATGGAAGCAGCAGGCCCTAGGAAACACAGAGACCTGTTGAGTGGTGTGATTTATGTCACATGAACCAGAGGTCTGGGGGGTCCTACAGCAGCAGTGTAATGGCAGCAAAGCTCTGTGGACAGTGCTCGTATCACACCAGACCTCCTACAGCAGCAAAGCCCCTCTGGCCTCGTGACCACCTCGCTGCTTTCCCCCACATCAGAGACCCTGTGGCTGAGAGCTTGGCTGTCTTGGCTCCTCCTCTTGCCTACTGTTTGCTGGTGGTTGCATCACATTACTGCTGAGCAATCACGTCTAAAACACGTGAGGGCTTCTCGTTCGCTAAATGAGTTTCCCGTAGCATTTTCTCTAACCTCCGAAAAGTTGGCAACGTCCCAGCCATGGCACCTACTCCCAGTGGCAACAGGTGCCCTGAGAAGGCAGCCAGGGCATCCATCGGCTTTGCTCCCGACAAAAGCTCACAGCCCACCAGACACAGAGCAGATCCCTAGGACACGCAGTTGCTCTAGGTGAATAGATACTGTGGCAGTAACTGGTTTTCATAAGCCATCACATTACTTAAATTGGGCTTAACATCCCCTGCTGTATATTTGTCTCTATCATGGCTACTATCAGAGGGAACAAAAAGAACCCAGCTCAGTTCTCAGCACACAAGTTGTGCTGAAACGTATCTGAAAAAAAGCTCTCTCTCTTTATTTGTAACCCCAGCAGAGTTGCAATGAATGGTCCCTGAATTACTTGGGCACTAACCATGCTTCTAGCACAATCTAAAACACCCTAAAGGCATTTAATATCTGACAGCACAACTAGGGTAAGACAGAAAAGCCTTTTGTAGACAGCTAATGTGTGCCTAAAAGTACATGCATATTTCAGTTACGGTTCAAGATGTTACTTCTGTTGTCAGAATTATTCATAAAAGCGAAAATCTGATGCTATCATAGCACGTGAACTCGGACTCAATTTGCCATTCAGTGCCATTGTAAAGCCTTCCATCTCGAAAGCCACAGGTAAGCCTGAAAATGCTTTCAGCGCGTAAGATATTATTGTGAAAGCAACTTGTCACCAACTTAATAATAATAATGTTTTAAATGTCTATAACCTCTGATAGGTCCCAAACCACTTCAGGTTTGGAAGCCTTTGGAAGTAGTGCAGCCAAGGCCAGTGCACAGACAGACACATGTCATGGACCACTGAAGTGGCATCCCTCTAAAGCTCCCAAAAGGAATACGAGAACTATATTTTTTTGCCTCATTATTTTTCACTTCTGTGTAATTCTTCACTTTGTTTTTCTCTGCAGAACCAGAAGAGCCAGAGTGCTACCAAAAATGCAAAGTAAAAGGTTTAAAGATGCATTTTCTAAGCTAGAAATGAGAAAACTTCAGTACTGCTATTTTTTTTTCATTACTTTTGTCTCAGTTTTGCAAGACCTATGAGACTAAATCTGATTTGATACCAGGGTAAGTCACAAGGAAACCCACTGAAGTTAAAGAAATGACAGCTGTGTGAAACTGGTAGAGAAAGTGAGATGAAAACTGTTCCCCTGAACACGGAGCACTCGGAGAAAAGACTTAAACCACAGCTTGCTTACCTGCAGGCATGCACAAAACCTCCCACAGCACTGCACCACAACGAACACATCGCATAAACGAAAATCTTTGCAGATAGCTCCATCTCTTCTGAAACAGATCTTGTAAAGGTAAATATAAAATTTTGTAACGTTGCAAAGGGAAAAAAAATGCTTCTACCTCCACAATACCTTTCTTCAAAATTACTCTCAGCCAACCTCCTGCTGCAGCAAAAAAGGGCACGCCGGAGAAAACAGGCAGCACCTGGCCAAAATGAGACCAGGTGAAAGCCGTTCCCAGAAGTGACTCTGCCTGCCCACCTGGCTGTCCCCCTGGGCTCCTTGTTCTCTGAGACTGCCAACAACATTTCAGCAGGAACAGGAACACTGCATCATAACCTTGCACTTGCAAGGCAACCAAAAAGTCAGACAATCTACTACCCTTGCCTCTGCTCGTTGCTGACCCCTACCCAACCCTAGGCATGGTTTAAAAAAGAGAGTAACAACCTGTAACTTCTAATCCAGGCCTGACTCCAGACCAGAAGTGTTTTCCCATGGCTTTATTTAAAGGGCTGGATGGCCCATCACAGGTCAGCTTTCAGCTCCAGTTCAGGAGGACCACACCATTTCATTCTGTTGTTTCTTTCTCTCGCTGGGAGGGACATGGACAAGGAATCATGAACACAAGGCAGCTAACCCACCTGAAGTGCCAAGGGGGAAAAACACACCTGGACAAGCTCATAGGAAATAAATCTATAAAATACATACATATATATATATATACATACACATATATTACTTTACATTCATGATTTTAAGGTCAGGGTTTCCTGACGGGTAGCGCTGGCAATCCTTGAAGGGCAATAAGAAGCTTATTCTGAGGTTTCTTTTAAAATGTAAAATATCCTAGTAAATTATGTATCTAGGAGAATAACCCAGAATGGAAGTGGTGAGCTTTATTCAGAGACCTGAAATACACCCAGTGTTGAGTTGGAGCAGAGCTTCTAAAGATGATTTTAAGGAACTCTCTCAATACAGCAGCAATGCATTCTCTTCATGTACAATCATTCAGAAAAGTTATTTGATTCACTGGGATTCTCCTTTTATGCTTTATGATTTTCTTTTCTTAAACACTGCCATATATTCCCATGTTTAACAGATCATACTTTAATATTTGCCATTATTTCTCGAAACGGTGCGTATGGAGCCTGACTGCAGTTACAGTATTCCTACCAGTTTTACTTACATGTATTTACCGATTTGTAGCTGTGCTTACATGTTATGTACATTAAACAACAGTAAGAAAAACGAGAAGCATCCTATTCTTTATCATAGCATTCGGATTTTCAAAGAAAAAAACGTAAAGCAAGTTTTCTTTATTATAAGCATTACTGACAGAAGATTAAATGAAGCTCAAAATTAGAGGTTTATAGCCAGTTCCCCCAAACCCTAAGATACTGTTTCCAGAAAAGACTCGCTGGTAGACATTTCCACGCTGCCTTCCACCATTGCCATGTTATCTCTGATAATATCACGTTATCTCTGATATTTCCTTTTGCTACTATGAATATACAGAATAAAAGTCTTGCCATTACCATTTGTGAGCAGGGTTAGGCACACTGTGTGGGCTACCCAAGAAGTGACTGCAAGTGTCTGCCTCCTCTTTTTGACGTTTGCCTCCTACCAAATTAGGAGGAATTTGGTGGTTTGTAAGGATCGGGGAGTAGCAGTGTCACCTTTTTCCTAGATACAAAGTAGGGCTGCCATCCCTTTAGACTTTTCACAGCTGCACAAAACGGTCCCTTTTCTCTCACCAAGCAAGCTCAGCTCTCCCTCCTTTCCAGAAAGAGCAAAAGTAGTGAATTCACTTAACTCTGCCAGGCTGCTCCACGCCCCAGCTGGGAATGGAGTGAGGTGTAGATAGGACCATCACTGCCTACCGCCCCATGGGGCTCCTTCCAGCAGGGTTTGGGAGGGAAAGGAGTTACGTACTGGGGCTCAGTGTAGTGGAGAGAGGAGGTGGGGACAGGTTCCCCATCTGCATTTCATGTTGTGCATCCTCATCACTCAAGGAGAGGAAGGTAAAAGAATCCTCAGACAAGATATGTCTCCTCTAGAATAGATTAAAATATAGCAATGCATCACCGGCAATCTATCATGTTTTAGCCAGTAAATATCCCTCTTAAACATTATAGGGGGTGGAGGGAGAGAGAAAAAATAAAAAAAAAAGACGTGCATGCAATCTGCTCTGTCCTTGGGAAATAATTTACTAAATTGCTGATGTGGAGCTGCTATATGCCAGGGAAGAAAGGTGAGCAAATAATGATCCAAATATATTTGAAAGTCCAATTTCAAGAATTGTTTTCTTTACTCGATTTGTTGCTCCCTTCTGTCTGAATGTCACTGCACATCACTGACGGCCTCCTCGTAACCCTGGCAACCTTCACATCCCTGCTTGGGCTGGCAGCCATGGCAATCCCAAAATAAGTTCCTTTAAAGTTGAGTGTAATGACTGCTAGGATGTTTCCCAATGCTGGCATACTTAAGGTCATTGTGCTACAGGAGTCTAGCTTCTTTCAGGTATTTACAAGCTCACAAAGCCCAGAAAGGCAATTTTGCCCTTGTTCCTCAAGCCGGAGGATGCTCGGCTTTTGGGGCCAGCCTGGTCTCTGCAGCAGCAAGGCGCAGGCGGTGTGTTCATGGGGGCATAAACCATGCGCTAATCCCATAGCTAAAGCTAATTTGAGCAACAGCGTGCTTGAAGATTTTTATTCTTTTGTCTAATTAATTAGCAGAATGGCAAATCAATTCAGTTACAAGAACTAAAGAACCAAAGATCTCAGATAATTAAACGTTAACTCAATGAAAATCTGTTAATCCTTCCACAATGTGGATTGCTTTATAAATTTCAGTGCCCGGCATATCGCTTTTCATCAGCCCTTGAGTGCAAGAACTTGCAAAGCAAACCCATTAAAAGACATATCAAGAGAAAAGCCTCACGTGACAAATTTGTTAGCCAGGCTTTTTCCATGGGGGCATTGCTATACTAGAGCCGTGTGGATAATTGGTAAGAGGATTTTGCCTTGAGTTGTGCTGTTGTTACCAAACTGTTTGTAAAAAGATTGGGAAGTTCTCCAATACCTACATTACCGGAAAATCATTAATTTCTTCAGCCTGTAATAAGTCCAGCACAGATAATTTGCGAACACTTGCTTTCAAACACCCAATTCATACTGCACTGGTCAGTAACTTCAGTATTTCCCTGTTCCCAGGTGAAGTGACTCACCCCAGCGGTGTGGGACACCCAAAGGGCACACCTCCATCTGACACTTTGGAAGTCCCTTGGCTCTCCATGTGATTCTCATGAAACAGTGGCTGGAAGGCCTGGGCTAGAGGAGAACACAGGGAATTAGACGATCAAGATGCCAAAGTACGGCAGAAACGACAGAAACACTCTTATTTTGCTGACGCTCAGGAGATGTTTGCCCTTGCTGCCAGTTCTCGCTAGCTTCTGCTTAGTCGTTCCCTGACAGCTTACTCGGTTCAAGCAAATCTGTTCCCTGCATAATTTTGCCCCTTTCCGAAAGAGGAATCTATTTCAGAAGCAGAGTATTTGTGACAGCCAGTCGTTGTCATGGTGTCACAAAAAGACAACGCAGAGCTGGCACAAACTCGCAATGAGGAAGGGGGCAGAAGAGGGACAGAACAGCAGGAAGCCGTGCTGATCAAAGCCAAATGTGTTTCCCTCTCAGTGGGAAAAAAAAATTCCTTAGCCAAACGCATCCTTGCAACATCCCCTTCGTTTCCCCTCCAAGTCTGCCCCCAACCTCCTATCATCCCGCTGCATAACCTGCCTGCTGGGGCTGCCTGGGGCTGCTTCATTTTCCCTCTCGAGGCCATGAGATACGTGCTTCTGCTCCACAGCGGAGGCAAATTCCCCAAAGTTTTGGTTAGCTCACCGTCTCCATGCTCCCAAACGTAAATTGGTTTTCTAGGGTGTGGAAGTAAAAACTGGCAGACACAACAAGAAGGATTTTGTCTCCTGGGAATCACGCCGGGATGCTGCCTCCCATGTTCCCTGCTCATGCAGCAGCCCAGGACTGCGGTGATTCCCTTCCTCTTTATTGCAGGGCACAACCATCCAAACGTGGCTTTTGCTGTAGCACAGCAGATGGTTGCAGGACTTAGAAGTTTTTTGCAACAGAAGGACTTCAAGACAAAGCTTCTGTCTATCCTGCTGGGCTTGTATTCTCCCACATGGTTCCTCCAAATTATGCAGGGGAAGAAAGGACCCAAGGAGCTGCCTTCATTTCTGTCTAGAGCTTCATCATCACCTTGGTTTACCGAGATCTATGCTGTCTTTTTAGTCAAGATTCCTTTAAGGTTGCGTACTCTTTACTTCCACACACTAATGCTCAATTTATTCCCAGCATTGCCTGAAGGTACCGACTCTGCTGGAGGTGAAGAAGCTATCCGACAGCACTCGCAGACACATGGTTTGATTTTTGGGAGGTCCTGTGTAGAGCCAGGAGTCGGACTTGTTGATCCCTGTGGGTCCCTTCCAATTCAGGATACTCCACGGTTCTGAGGCTCTACGAAATTCTCCCCCAGATGCTGTAGATCTGGTAACACTCATAGCAAGGGATGCACCAGGGTGAAGTAGCTGACAGGATTTTGCCTCTGTGGTTTCCAGACCTTCCCTGGCCCGCAACTCTCCTAGAATATGGGAGCATTTCATAAAACGTAACAGCATGGCCGTGCAACCCGCCTTCTTTCTTGGATCCCCTGGCTCCAGAAAAGCCAGACACACTGCCATGAAGATTTAATCAAAGGCACGGCATTCATGTATTTCTTCCATCGCGGAAATATGGACGGTAAGTGTAAGGGGAAAACCAGCCATCTGTAGTTTGGGAGAAGTCTGAAGAGCCCTTAATGGAAAAGGCTCTTCTGAATGATTCCCATGCTTTATTTTATGCTACCTAGTTCTTTAGGTAAGCAAAATTCAATGCATTTTTATTTAAAGGCTCATTTATTTTGTTGTGTCAACAAACCGTTTCATCTATCAGCAGAGCTGATCTGGCAGCCAAACCACCATTCCTCAGGGCTTAGAATTACCACGAGCACCAAGTTACTCTTAATATATACAACTCATAAATACAACTCAAGGCTCCGAAATCTTCCCTAAAAGGAACAGGAGCCCCACTTGCCGAACACAAGTATTATTGAAATTGCAATGATTAAACCAATCCTGAGCTGACAATGTCACATGAGAGGTTATTGATGAGAAATTAAGCCTTGGATCTAATTTGCTCTATTTAAACACTAATTCAACATCGCTGGGAGCATGGTAAATGATTTTCTAACTCATTTATTTAAAAGGTCTTGGCCGGGATTGCAAGCTACTTGTAACAAGCTTTGGAAGGCCTGAGTTAAAGAGATGAGAATTCAAAAGGATCAAACAACCACTGGAAGCGTCGAGGGGCAGCAAGGCAGCAGTTCGCTAGGTCAATCCACCTTGGAAAGAGAAGACTTGGATCGGGTCTGAGGTTAATGCAACTGGAATTATGCTTGCAGCTGGCCTTCGATGACAGAGCTGAAGTGAGAGAGTTTGTCCTTTATCTTTAACGTGCCCAGTGTCCGAGCTCTGCCAGGGTGGCCTGAAGCAGCGGCTCTGCAGCTGGAGACCCCCCAGCCAGGAGAGGGCTGGATCTGTGGGCAACAATTTTGC